TATAGCAGAATGAGCCATTTCAAGGAATAAGTTAAAAGGTGTGTTCAACACTAAACCTTGTGAGTACTTGTCCTTGGATGTCATTGAATATCCACTCCATGGGGTGCAAACTTATGAATATTTACATTGGCATAATCATCAAGGCTTATCAGAAAATATGAATAGGATTATATTCATGACTACAATTCTGAGTATATATAACCAGGACACGAGACTCACTGATGTCAGTGGAATGTATTTCTCAGGATGTTTAGGATTGAACTGTAAGATTTTGCAGAACGCTGTCCCAGAATTGGGTCTAAAAGATAACTCCTCCATGCATTCCCAGAATGTATAAAGGAAGTTGTAATGTCAGAATGATGAGCTCCCTGCCCACTGCTAATGTTCACAGCAGGCATGAGAAGAGCAATATAACCTATGTATAGATCTTCCCTATGTGGAGGTTTATTCTGACCCACTCATAATTCTTCACCTTGAGAGACTGCTATATATTCAGACATCTGTTTCACATGTCAATTAAAAGTAGAGAAGAGTTGTTGCTGCTAGGCCAGTTGGATTGTGAGTCAAAATAAAGTGGTCTCCTTAGGTCAGAGGTGATGAGAAGTGGTGACAATGTGCTACAAACTGCATGACATCTTCGAATCTAACCTACTGCCTTTTGGTATGGTGTGTTACATTATCCCGTTGTGAGTGATAAAATCATGCAGCTATACAGTTCTGTCTGTTTTTTTTCAAAGGAATTGCTGAGATATCAACTGGTTCTTCTAGTAAGAAAGAATTAATAGCAAATTAATCTTGCAGTTCTAGACAACAGGGGCAGGAGAGAAGCCCATATCTAGATAGAGATGTTTTTGCTGCAGCTGACCATCCAGGTTCTAGATTAATTCAAAGGTTATTTGGAATGATTTACGGTAATTTTTCAGGGTGTATATCACTATCTAGAATTCCATCTTATATGTGTGTTCTTAAAGAATTTAATATCTATAATTATTCATTTGGAGAATAAAATATTTCTAATCCTACATCTGCATAAATTTACTGTATAGTAAATTATCTTTTTATGGTAGCATATATATGATGAGAATACATTTTGTTTTCCATTGACATTAAACTTTTGCAATAATGATTATAGTATTAATTGATTTCACTTTCAACATTCCTGTAGAAAGACAGTGAGATAGTTTGAAGAACTGATTGCATATTGAAATCTAGACTTTGTTGAGTGTTTTGGGCACTTTAAAAAATACATTCACTTTCACACTGGAAACACACTATATAAACGTTGGTAAACCATACTTTCCTAGCCCCAGAGGAAAGAGCTAAGAAACATTTACTAGGGACTTAACACAGTAACTGTAAACCTTTCCAACTAGAATAGACCCAGTGAACTAACGTGATTTACCTATGTGTTAGCCAATCATTCAACAACTGATTCATTAGGGCTACTTTAGTTGGAACTAACCAGCAGAATTCCAACCGATGGGATTTAATCCTGGGGATAGACGCTAACATCGTACTGCAAGTAAGCTTTTTTTTATCACCCCACGGTAAATCTATGTGAATAATAATCTATCTAGCCCACCAGTTATCTGGATTTATTGGATATTCTCCAGGCGACCATTAAAACAAGGTTTTGTTCCATTTGGTTTACTTATATACTCCCACAAATCTCGCTTTATCCAGTGATTTTGCAATGAGCCATGGAACAATATATCACACTTTCATGTGGCATGTAGTGCTAATGAAATAAACAGACATTTGATGTCTGTGCTGCAGATGAGATTCCTTTTTCATTCTGCTCTTCCATTCGTCATCACTATATTTCTTTGGTTGGCAAGTGTGCACATATGTGTGCACACTCATGCAATGTTAGATTTTATTCTAAGCAAGCTGCTAATGTGATTCTACAAATATCATGATTGTCTCCTGAGCAGTAAAGACTGTCTTCTTCCTTCAATCTTCCTGTCTCTCTTTAATTTATTTTGCTTTCCATGCTATGTGCTTCACATTTAAATGCCTTTTGTAACTGTGAGTTCTCATTGTACTGATTTAGAATTTTCATTTTATTTATTTACTTGATCAGCATCTCACACCCAAAATGTGTGTAAATGTTTCACTGATATCAAAATTTAAGGTATGTAACAATGAGGGCTCTAAAATATATATTTTTAAAGCCCACAATAACCAAACATTCTACATTCTGTAATAACCAAAACACTCAAATGTGTTTTGTGGACTGTAAGAGATGACAAAATTTTATTTTTATTTAAAAGTTCTATATGTCGACCTTTTCTAACCTCCATAGAGGGACTCAGACCGGCTCACAACAGAATTCAATAATAAAAATACAATATAAAACAGCATACAATAACAAGTTAAAATTCATATAGATTAGATTTACCAATAAGCCAAATCACCAGGAAAAAATCATGTCCAATTCAGTCCATGTGTGTGATCGATAACTTTGTTCTGTAGCCTGTCTCAACCATTACTCTGGGAATGCTTCCTTCCATAGCCAGGATTTCACCAGCCTCCTGAAGGACAGGAGGGAGGGGGCAGATCTGATCACAATCAGGAGAGAGTTCCATAGCCGAGGGGCCACTACAGAAAAGGCCCTGTCTCTCGTCCCCACCAGACGCGATTGCGAAAGTGGCGGGACTGAGAGCAGGGCCCCACCTGAAGATCTTAATTGTCTTGATGGTTCATAGGGGAGAATACGTTCGGACAGGTAAACCAGGTCGGAACCATGTAGGGTTTTGTAGATTAATACCAAAAATGTCAGAGGGCAGGAAGAAGGTTCCCCTATTACTGTTTTACATTGTACAGCTGTTATTAACTGCTGTTCCTGGTCTGAACAATGAAAAGAGTAGAATGGAATCTGGTCATGAGAATCACCTTGGGATTCTACGTGTGTTTGTAATGTATCTAAATTAATACAAATGTAAGCTTCCTTGATTTCTAGACAACTAGATTCAGAAATGTTTAAAATAAATAAAAGTGTTCCAAAATAGTCACAGAGTGGAATTTTGTACTTGCATGGATAGACTGATTTTGTTGTGGAATTTTCAATTGGATAGTTATGCAGAGGATATACTAATATTTCAGTGTTGGTCTTAAAAATAGGCATGTGTTTCACACTTTTAGAGGCGGGTTTTAAAAGATCTAAGTAAGTTGCTTGTTTCATAACGCTTAAGGTGGATCAAAATAGCCAGCAGTATTAGGTCAGAAAGTCTTACAGAAAAGCTATTTTGATCAAACTGTGCATTATTGCTTTAAATTGTGTACTATAAAACTCAGTGGCCCTTGGTATTTACCAGGGTGTGGTTCCAAGACTTTCATGGATACTAAAGTCTGTGAATGCTTAAGTCCCATTATATGCAATGGTGTTGCAAAATAGTGTCCCTTCTATACAGTGGCAAAATCAAGTTTCACTATTTTGGATTTTCCATATAAATATTTTCAAGCTGTGGATGACTGAGGATGCAGAATCTGTTGATATGGAGGGCCAACTGTTTGTGTTTACTGTAGTTACCATATGCATGTTAGCAGTATTTGAAAATAGAGATAAATTTTGCAGAAAGTATCTACCCCTTCTTTAAAAACAATTCTTTTCCACGTATTGGTGATGTTGGGGAAGATAGGGCAGAAATCATGTTGGGAACTTATGTCTTTGTGAGTGAACTCACATCTGTGGGAATTAGAACTGCGCAGTCGCATAATATCCACATCCCATAGAGGTCTCCTGTTACATTACTATGTGCTGGCAAAGTTCTCAGTGCACATCTGAGCACGTTGATGCACATTGGTGTACAATTAATACTGTTTTGAAATGCACATTTATGCATATTACACATTGATGTACATAAAGCATTCCTGTCAGTGTCCCATTGACTACTTTCATAATTAAAAAGAGATTTCTTAGTGCCTTTGCTATATTGTTAGGTATACTAACAGTTCATTTAACATACCTGTAGAGTCCTTTGTGCATATTTGCTTTTTAAATATTTTTTGAATTTAGTCTACTGAGTGTGTCTTTATTATATGACATATTGTAGTAAGGATTCAAAAAACTCCAATATCTGTCTATACCAGCCATGGGCAAACGTTGGCCCTCCAGGTGTTTTGGACTTCAATTCCCATAAGTCTTAACAGCATGTAGGCTGTTAGGAATTGTGGGAGTTGAAGTCCAAAACACCTAGAGGACCAAAGTTTGCTTATACCTGGTATATACCCTGCTTTTTTTCCCTTTTGTTTTTTAAAAAATAAAAGCATGCATGTTTGTCAATTCAAGAAACGTGAATAGCCATTTATTTAGAAAGATGCCCTTCTGTAACAAGATTAGAATGCAGGTGGCTGTAGAAGTTTATAGAGTGTGAGACTAGTTAAGATGTAAACTGCCAAGAGACAAGTCTTTAATGGAAACCAACTGCTTCTATGGGTCCAATTAAGACCACCCAACTGTGAAATGTAGCCCCCTAGGTGGAACTTGGAATAACCGTTTTGGGAGAAGGGGAATGACAAAAGGAATATCTTTTTTCATGGGTAAAAGGAATGATATAATTGTTTAATGGTTCTGTCTAATCCCTTAAATCTAAGCATCTGATAATAAGGTCAGTATTGAAGTTCCTCAGTCTTGATTTACATATGCACCACAACCTGAACTTGAAGCCCTAGTAACTGTTCTTGAGATATGGATGTGCTCTTGGTCCCAAATCAATCTTGTCATTCCTCAGAAAGCAATGAAAGATAATAAGTACTATTCACCTGATTGCCTTCCTGCTCAGAGACAGCTGGTGACGCTTGTCTTCCTGATAACCAGGACTTTCAGATCTAAGGCAGGGATAAAGAAAAGCCGGGAGCTTGCTGAATCTAAATTTGACAGTCGATGGCAGTGTTGAGGGGTCAGAAGGGATAGAATCTCTGACACGTATAAGAAAGGAACAAAATTTATCTGCTCTGGTTGCAATGATTAGATGTCTCGTTGTCTGGCTTTCTTATAGTGGATGATTGATCGTGCCCGCCAGCTGCCTAATATCATAATTAACAAAGTTGCTACCGTGTCTGAGAAGTTTAATCGAAAAAAATTGCTAGCAGTCCGATGCTGTTGTTGCCGATGAGGTGAGAAGTATGGCAAAGTTGACTTTTGGACTAATGGATCTGCAGAACTATGTGGGCAGAATAAGAAATAATGCACCTGAATCGCTAATGGTAGGTTTATTTTCACATTTCTATTTTTCTTGCATTTTCTCTCATTCTCAATTTCTCTCTTAAAATCTGGGAGGGCTAAATTTTTCATGTCAGGGTCCCATCTAGTATATTATTGGATGTTTATTGTTTAATAACAAACACTAAATATCTTGTCTGTCAGTATTTGTTAAAACTATTTTAAAAGGGATTGAATATGGTAATTGTTGCTACATCACGAAGACTTCAGACAGATATTTGACGGTTTCCGCATTTTATCCTTATGTGTCCTAAAGGTGGAATGTATCTTAACGACAATGATGGCATAGCCATCATTACTGACATTGCATCAGGAAATGTGGCTTCAATGCAGTTTATGTATATTTTGATGGAAGTATATGTTTGTAACAATGTCTGATTAGCAGTCTTTATTTATCACATAATATTGAGAAAATATCTAAATAGCTGAGTTGTTGATTTGAAATAGTATGGATTTAAATGTATGGATTAAAAATGATTGTTCAGGATTTTTGTTCTTTGCAGTTGTATTTTCCCTTCTCTTTTTGAGCTCTGTTTGCTCACATAGGGTCCCTAGAGTATATGTTGCTATTACTAGTCTAACATATCACTATGAATATTGACAGTGATGTCTCTCTGTGTGTGAGAGAGACAAATAAAAATTGAGAGAATACGAAATTATGGAAATAAAGGCAAAGGAAACAATAGCTGGTGCATGCAGTGCCACACAAAAATGCATAGCAGGAAAACATTATGGAACCCTGCTCGCATTTCCATTATTTGGATTTATTAACACATTGAAAAAGAAGATGTTGCTTTCATTTGTTGATAATTGGAAGTGGAACTGCACATTTTAACCAATTTTGGAAGATCAGTTTTCTCATGCTTTTTCTTTTAGGCATTCTTTTGAATGGAATATACAGTAGCTAATGTAATGGATCATAGGTCTGACTGCTAACATCTCTTTGGAAATTGCTTGGCTTTACACATTTATTTCTGCTACAGATTATAAAGTATATTACAAAATTAATAACATAGGTTTTTATTTTTAAAAAATCTGTGCATAATGATTCCATGGATATCAATTCCATGAGTATTTTAAAATATTTTATAATATCTTGTCACATTTATAAGGTGGAAAATAGAAATGGCATCCATTTTTCATGATATTGTTCTGAACTGATGCTCTGCAAAAGAATGTGTGGTTAGACACACCTTTTTTCCATATTGTCACTGATAGATAATAATTCTAACCTTTCCTGGCATTTTTATTGTTCACAATTGTTTTGCAATAAAAAACCCAATACTTTGCCTGGAACAAAGATTGGTATAAATATAGAAAGGGGGGGGGGGAGACCAGATTAGCAATGCAAATTTCAAACAGAAGGAAAGATTAGGCTACTAGAACAAGTATATTGTTATTTTAATCAGCACTCACATAATATTTCATGTAATTGAGACTTAGTGCATTGTTAAAACTCAGCTGGAGAACTAAATGTCTGTATGGATTACAGGAGGAAACGCTAAAGCAGAGTCATAGCAGATGTGTCTGGCTTTTAACAGGATTATTTTCTTGGATATATAGCAATGGACTCATCCTAATAGTTTCAGAGGAACTAATAACTTTTAGAAATATGTTAATGGCAAATGTGCCAATGTAAAGAATTAGAAGATTAGCAATGCATTCTTTTGCACTGAAACTAGAGTATAATAAATGTATCTCAGGTGACTCAGCTGCAGTGATTTTTATTGCAGATTAAAGCTTGATGGTCCTTTGATTGGGCGATTAAACCTTTAGAAATTAAAACCCAGTGCGAAAGTTTTCAGTGCAATTGAAATGCAAACACTGAAAAAGGATAATCCTCTTCCTCTCTCCCCTCCTCCTCTTCCTTTTCCCCACTTTTTCTCTCTTTATCTCCATGTTGTTGAAAAGATAACGTAACCAAGAGGACCATGATTTATCTTGGGCAAAACAGCTTGAATAGAAAAAATGGTCTTCCAGAATCCATAGCAAAGGAATATCCGGATGAATATATTGATGCTATGACAATCATATACTGAAGTTATGAAAATCTTATACTGATGATATGACAAAACAGGTAAGAGAGAATCATGATCAATTAAATATCCCTAATGGCAAGCAGAATTATGGTGCCACTCGGTGCGTGTCAGCTTAGAAGCCCAAAAGGGTTTATTCCTATGCAAGCGTATATAAAATAGCAGCATTAGACTGGGGTATTGTGAAGCAATGAACACTGGATGAGAATTTCTTCATGGTGCAGCCAGATACAGAATACAGGATACAATTTGTAAGAGTCTTAAAAATGTTTTTAAAGCAGGCAAACCATTACAGAATATCATTTAAAGAGGACGAGAAGTCCTACCAGGGAGTAAATTCCATTTAATGTAATTGATCTTTTTTCTGAATAGCTGGGTATCTGATTAAACTATTAAAATATACATATTTATTAGTTTAAAGAAATTAATATTTGATTATGTTTACAAAAATCCCTTTCAGGATAGATTCCAATAATAGTTAATTCTGTATATACTGTACACTTTGGAGAAGGTGTTAACAAAATTGCATTTCATGTGTTTGTATTTTGACATTTTCAGGGTTTAACTAAACTTTCACTGTAATATTTATCCTATATCTATTTACCTATTAATTCAGAGTCAATAACTTAGGTGCATTAATTATTAATTAGGCACCTGTTGATTAATTGGATCAAGATAAAAAATTATTTATTAGTTTTTGTCACTTAAAAACTTTCATGAGTGCCTTTAGTATTTTGATTTAGATTTCCAATGGAATAAAGAGCATTTATCAAAATAGCTTAGCATAGTAAAATAGTTGATCAAAATTTTGCAAATGTTCAAAAAGTTTGTGAAATCTTGTGCCAAGATTCACTATTAGCCTTGAATTTTGCAAATACAGCCAAATACTGAGTAATTTTATTGGCAAAAACAGAAGCCTAAGATTTCAGAGCATGACATAAACAGATATCTGGGGTATAATAAAGTTTTACCATATTTTAATTTTATCAGAGAGATTGCAGAGTTGATTATTGGTTTGAATATCTGTAGCAGATTTTTATAGTAGAGTTTGTTCTACTATAACAATCCTGAGGCCCCCTGATGGTGCAGCGGGTTAAACCACTGAGCTGCTGAACTTGCTGACCGAAAGGTTGTCAGTTCGAATCCGGGGAGTTGGGTGAACTTCCCCTATTAGGCCCAGTTTCTGCCAACCTAGCAGTTTGAAAACATGCAAATGTGAGTAGATCAATAGGTACAGGCTTGGCAGGAAGGTAATGGTTCCACATGCAGTCATGCTGGCCACATGACCTTGGAGATGTCTATAGACAATGCTAGCACTTTGGCTTAGAAATTGAGATGAGCACCACCCCCCACACATGACTAGACTTAATGTCAGGGAAAACCTTTACCTTTAACTTACCTTTTTCCTTTGCTATTGTTCTTTCAATTTATCTGTTATACAGAATAAAGAAAAAGAATTATGTTAACTATTCTCAAATTGTCTTTTGTGAATACTTTCCTGAAGCACAGAAAGGAATAGATGATGTGACTCTGTGACTTTATGTTTCAATGAGCATTTTTCTCAACCATTCTAATAGGATCATGTGGTTGTCTCATCTGCACCTGATCAGCTGACTAAATGAAGAACCACCGTAACTTTTCCTACCACCTTCCTGTTCAGCACAGTGTGTTTTTGTGTCTGACCCTGTGGTGACATCATACTCAGTATGGCACAGCATTAATAATGAATTCCACCTTAATTAATCAGTTTTAATTCATTCTAATTATTGGTTTCCTATCATGTTTACTTCTGTTGCCCTTGATCTTCTTACATTTTGTCTATTTTAAAAAATTTAAACAGAGAAGAAGAATGATCAGAGTAGGCTAATAACTCAAGGCCCACCTTTAACTGGTCTCAGTGACTTGCTGACAAATTATTGGCCAATTCATCACTAAAGCCACAAAGGTCTAGCCTTGAATTAAAATTGAAGAGTATGCTTCCTGAATGAGATTTGTGCTTGAGAAGACATTACAGAAGGAACATGGATAAAATGAAAAAAATTATTTATTTATTTATTTACTTTACTTTACTTGTATACCGCAGTTTCTCAGCCTAACAGGCGACTCAACGTGGTTTACAACAAAGGTACAACAGTCAACAATATACAATTTAAAACCATAAAAGCATAATACACAATCTTGACACAACAATAACAACCCAATGCATCTCATGACTAAAATCGTGATCCAGTTTCGTCGTCCATATTACCATTCCTGTAATCATCACATTCATTGCACCGATTAACCAAATGCCTGTTCGAACATCCAGGTTTTTAATCTTCTTCGGAACACCATCAGAGAGGGGGCTGATCTTTCAAAATTGTGTAGTTTAATGGTGAGAATCACACAGCCCCCTGAATGTTGCTGTTCTACAATTCCCAGAATTCATCATTATTGGCAATGCAAGCTAGCTTGTTATTTTAAATGTTACAACGTACTATTATTTATTTATTTACGACATTTATATGCTGCCCTTCTCACCCCGAAGGGGACTCAGAGCGGCTTACAAGGTATATATTACATACAATATATTATATTATTAGCATAGTACAATATCAGCATTAAACATTGCTATATTGCACCATATCACTATATCATAATATTATTAGCAATATTACATTTAATATAAATATATAATTATAATATCATATTATTATTATTATATTGAATCACAATATAATATTATAAATATTATATGTATATACAATATATTATATTATATTATTAGAATAGCACAGGAGACAAGGTGGAACTGTCCCCTGCACCCCCCCCCCTTCACTCTGGCCTATTCTACTATATACTATATAATATACTACCCTATTCGTCAAACAGTTAGCCCTCCACATTTGTTGATTTAAGCTGTGAAGACATAATAACTTGAAAAAATTATTAATATGGTCTCTCTAGGAGACTCTGGATTCTCTAGTACAGGGGTCCTCAAACTAAGGCCCGGGGGCCAAATACGGCCCTCCAAGGTCATTTACCCGGCCCTCGCTCAGGGTCAACCTAGGTCTGAAACGACTTGAAAGCACACAATGACAAGAATCCTATCTAATCAGCCAAAAGTAGGCCCACACTTTCCATTGAAATACTATTAAGTTTATATTTGTTAAAATTGTTCTTCATGTTAATTATTGTATTGTTTTTAAGTGGGTTTGTTTTGCACTACAAATAAGATATGTGCAGTGTGCGTAGGAATTCATTCTTTTTTTTCCAAAATATAATCTGGTCCTCCAACAGTTTGAGGGACTGTGACCTGGCCCTCTGTTTTAAAAGTTTGAGGACCCCTGCTCTCAGGCCCGTAGCCAGGATTTCGTTTCGGGGGGGGGGCTGAGTTTCGGGGGGGGGGCTGAGTCTGAGTGAAAGAGGGTCTAGCCTAGCAAACCTTTTGTATCATTACCCCAATACCCCCGTGCATATGGGATATATTGAGTATGGTGATCAGATCATGATATGAATAAACATAACAGTTTAAATAATGCACCATTAAGGCCTTTTCGCGAACCACCATGAAAATTTCGGGGGGCCCCCCCCTGGCTACATGCCTGCCTGCTCTAGTACAACACTATGGTCAAAACGTGGTGGAAGTTGACTATAGGTGTTTCCTGGATGATCTAGATTCCTAGAGAGAAGACACAACTTCTAGGATAAATTTATGATCAACTTCTTGGAGATGTTGACTATAGGGTAACACTGGAGGACTAAGAGATTTCTAGAGAGATGTTCACTTGGATTAAAAAAGTGTTTTCCACTCTTGCAGGAATTTATCTCCCTAGTTCCAGTGAATGTGGAGGGCTGATACTTCTAGAAAGGAGGTCGAATTGTGTTACCATTCGTGGAGAGTGCTAGGTAAGAGCACGGCTGCCTGAAATGTATTGCTTTTATATAATCATTTCTATAAGAAGGAAAAGCATTTGTTTGGCCCTATCATGTCCAAATGAATTAGTGAACTGAGCTCCATTCCTCTTCAATTTAAAGAAAAATCTTTCATGCCTATAAACTGGATTCCAATTTTGGTTTTTCATTCATAGATGGTGACCTTTTATTTTTATTTCTTTGAACAAAGAGGTAAAAGTGGATTTGGAAATGTGACACAAATTATAATGTGCAAAGTAGGCAGTCAAGATACAATCTCGTATGAGACACCAAAAGCTGCGAGTTTGAGAACCACTAGTCTATATTCTCCAGTATGCCTGTACAGTTAATGAGCTCTTTGCTAGATGAGACAGGGAAGGAAGCTTATGCTCTCTCTGTATAAGGGAAGTGGAGATCCTGCTTCCTTTTTGCATATTTCTAGCTAACAAAGGTTAGAAATAGCAATGTTGAGCCCAGCTAAATCTTGGTATTACATCCCCTGCATAGTTAAGAGTTTCTATCTTTTAAATGTGATGTATGTTATTAAAATGATAATAAATATGCAATCTCCTGTCCTATTCAATTTATTTCTCCTTTTCATCAAAGATGAGTTCCCACTGACTCTGTCAAGATAGAGAAATCTTAAGGCATTGTAGCACAGAAATTAAGCAGCCTCAGGCAGCAGCTGCCTTCTACCTAGTCCTTTCATTTGCACTTAAAACACCCTTCAGGGGGAAAAAAGCCTTTTTATGGGACTCTATGAAAAAAGTGAAATAGGATGAGAACTGAACTTGTGATTGGGCCAGTTAGATGATTTTGGGCAGGGAGGGAAAGAAAAAGAGAAACTCTGCAGTGTACCGAACACATATACTCTTAAGTCTTGGATTATTTCTGTATTTGAAGCAATCCTTTACTTTAAAAAGACACATAATTGCCTCTTAGTTATATCTCACTCTACATGTATAATGATTCTATTTCTTTTAAAGATTTTCATATAGATAATTGCTACCTGTCAGCTTTTACTGTCAGGCTTTTTCAAACATTGACATTGTCATATAAACACTCTTAATGTATCATTTGAAATAATTTTATAGCTAAAATTATATGACACTGTTTCTATTAAATGCCTTGAGCAATCACACCTAGATTACAGGTTTGTCCAGACGTACATATACATACATATGCCTGTCTGAATATATTTTCAGTTATTCAAACCACATATAGCATTTGGAGCTAATCCTACCTGTTTGATTTTTCTAATGAAATATATCTGCTGCTTGTGTACCTTGAAGATTGTTTAATTTAAACCATGGAAATAATGGAAAAGAAATGAAATGGAAAATACTGTCCTAGGTCTCTGCATCATAGGACTCCTATACAAATGCTGGGCATGTCATATTTGGGGCAGTACTTTAACCAGCATGGCTAGTGGGAGGTGCGCCCCCCAAAAAGTAACCTCACCTATCTGTGTAGTGCTTCTATTTCGATGCCTTTCTTGGCAGATAGTTATTGAGACATTTTCTAGATGTTCAAAGAAGACACATTAAAATATTGCTATGTAAATAGTTCTAAACAATGCCATGCTTTGTTCTGCTCAATATGGGGAGTGATTTTTCCAGACAAAACTCAAGTGAAACAAAAATGTCCTCTCAAATGTAGCCTACTTCCATTTGCTTTATTATTTTGCAGATATGGAAGGCTGAGAGTAAGTCAAGACAACAATTCTGTCTCATTAACACTTATTTTTTGGACCTGGGCATTTTGAAGCTTATGGAATGAATACCTTGAGTCTGCATTCATGAATATTCCTTATGTTCAATACACTGGAATTCCTTTAAGGGTTAGCAGTAACCCTAGATTAGGTCTTTAAAATGAAGTGAGTTTGTGAAACAATTATCAGTTTAAGGAATATGCTCATTGACAGTTGACAATTTGGATCTAAAAATCAAACAAGTTTCATAGTGAAACCTGACCACATAAGGTTGTATCAATTATTTTGACTAAAAAGAGGTTGATTTCAATTCATTTTCATGCACAGGATTATAGGGGGGCAGGGTTAATAACTTTTTCAGCTTTTCACTGAAATATGCCAGTATTTATTCTTTTCCTCGTTAATTTTTTTAATTAGTATTCTGAGAATTTTAGGTAGAAAAAACAATTATTTTTCAAGCCCAGCTTCTCAACACATTTATAGATATATTTGTAACAATCTATATGTGAACTTCATATAATGCCTTACAGAAAAAAGCATGCATTAAAAATATGGAAACAAGGAGCAGCCTTTAGGTAGAGCCATTTGGACCTCGTCACATTGATGAGAGGAAGTGGGGGTGATTCGCCAGCCTCCATGGTGAATGCGCAGGGCAGCGGAGCAATCCTGTCGCCCCACCTTACCCACAGCAATACTTTTCTATCACATGTAGGGAAATGTCATCAAGCAGCTTCCCCCTGCATTGGCCCCCTTGCCCCCTACAGAACATGGGAAACCTCCTGTGTTCTGGGTGAAGCGTCGTAGGACTCTTCACAACAGTTGATCAACAGAGCCTCACCGGAAATTAGTGTGCATCATGTGATGGGCGGTGTGGGGATCAGTGGATCAACTGTGCTGCAAGTGTCCTTGGATGCTTGTGAAGGCACATGAGATGAAGTTGTAGGTATCCCTGTCAGAAAAGCATTTCACACAATAAACTTCAGTATGATTTTTAGAAGAATACCTTACATGACATTTCATTTAATCACAAATTAGTCATAAATTGTACTAAAGAGCTAGTAACTGTTTCATATGGTACTTTGATTTGAAATGATCTTTAGAATTGTTCTTTAATTTACACAGTGGAGCAAATTATACAAAACAAAAGAAATAGTAATGGCATGATTAGTTTAGTACCTATGTTGACATCAGGTTATTAAGTGTGCTCAAAATAGTAAAAAGAACTCTGATGCTTTGGGGATATTGACCTGCTCCTTTTTTGCTAAACTATTCACAATGTTTTAGAGCCTGAAATTGAGCTTCACCAGACTAAACTCTTTAAATCAAAGTCCAAACTATTTGATTTATGTTTCCTACTTAATATCTATGCGGTTTCTCTGCTTGTGGTGTCTCCTGAAGCAGGGCCACTCATCCTGTTGCACATATATGAGACATACTTCTCAATTATGGTTGCTGTCAATACCAGACTTTGAAATATTAGGGTGAAAGGTTAATTCATTGATTCTGGTTGTTTAAAATGTAGCAATTAATTTAATGTTGTGAGATGATAGAAATAAATTTATTATGTCATATTTAATTGGTTCATTAGTGAAATCATTCATTTTTTTAAAAAACTGTGGTATTTATGTAGAATGGCATATTTGGTTATCACACTTGCTACTAGTGGTTTAATTTATTAATGATTTCTTCAAAAAGGATGCAATACTTCCTCATTTAATTTTGAAGAAAATAATAAGTGATTTCAGCAGTTTGCTTCCATTGTGAGAAAGTGTTCAAAAACTGTGTTGTTTTCAAACTGCAAAGCCTATTTGCAGTTTCTCAACCATTTTCAAATAGTTTGGAATATTTTTTCATTCCTATTTCTAAGTTGCTTTCCCCAAAATGGACTTTTCCAGATGTTGAAATGCAAATCATACCAATGCACTTTTGACTAGAATGGCAGAATTTGAAGAGTAACACCTCTGGAAAAGGCCAGGTTGAGGGAATCAGTCTTAAAGCCTGGGATATAACAACTCTGGTACATGCACATAGTGCATTGATTCTACTGACCACTTGCAGTAACTGGTCAATAGAGTATATGTATGGCACATGATGACATTATAATGCATGTAATGATATCACCATCTATGTTATCTTGAGAGAAAAACAACATTCCTAAGACCTTGAGTGCAAATATATTAATGGATATATTTTCTCCTTGCCTTATCAAAAGAGGGTGTGCTATATCTAGAACAGTAGACAATATAATTATACGTGCAGCAAATATGCAGGGCAGATGGTGAATACAGCAATAGGACATGGTCACAGGTATTCCCAGGACCCCTTTATAAGCCACAAGGCCTTACCAGTGAAGAAGCTCTCAATAGTAGGGTATTTTTAGCAAGCTGTAAGGTTATGTGGCTTCATACAGAAAGGCTGAACATCTTTTGTATCTAACATCTTTTTCTGGGGTTCCAAGTAGAATGCCCCCCCCCAAAGATCAGGACTCCATGGTTCTCTGGTGTGCAAATGCTGGTTATTAATCTAGATACCAAGCTTGAATAGACATCTTTGTGAAGCCATATAAGGCATACACATTCCATACACTTCCAGAAAGTCTAAATGTGAACAATAAATAAATAATAAATAAAAATTTGCTGTGACTTGTGAAAAGATTACATGATATTTTAGAAGAAAAATAAATTTGAGCTAATATTGGCAAATTATGAGAACATGAATTTGCTGGGGGTAGGTACGTTGATAGATTCATTTTTGACATCTGTTAAAAATCAATACAGCAATTTGTAAAGTGTTTCCATAGAATTCGAGCTGCAACATGGCAAAGGCATTTATCAGTGACAGTTACATGGCTCCCATTCCTTTGCCTATTTTAATCTTTTTAAACAAACAACTTATTTTTAGCTATGTTTGAGATATTTAAAAAATCAACACGTCATTTCACAATCAACAAGACTGACATTGTAATAAACTAAGAATACTAACATGAATCTGAAGGACATAATTACATTGTGGAATTGTGTGAGAATAGGGGAAGATGTGCATGAGCTGTAGATATACTGCTCATATCCCAGTGGACAGAAACAGATAGGGACCTGCTATACAACAATACTACAAAGCAAGCTCAATATGTATGCACTGTGGTGATAGGATGCAGATAAATTAGAGTCACAGATCACCAAATGCTACTGTAATCGGCGAAATCAGAAATGCAGTGAGTATAGTTCTGAAAATGGATTTGCTTCCTCTTTTTTTAAAGTATATAGTACTATTGAAGGAGGAAGGA